CTTTCCATAATGAAGAAAATCAAGAGAACAGGAAGACTCATTTGCATATCCATACATACTGAAAGATTAAGCTGTTATGTATTTATTCAAAATCAATAGTTATTTCTGTTGTGGATGATAGAACAAATGGCAGGGACAACAAAATCTATTTCAATCTGAGGAAAGGTACATAAGCCCCTAAAACATGGACAACATATTCCCTTCTCTAGGAAAAGTATACAACCCTGAAAACCTAGGCACATTTAGTAAGTGTACATCAGTGTAAGATTGTTTCAGGTTGCCATCAAAAATGCTATTAAGAAATTCTTAATTTCGTAACCAGCTCCAAATACATGTTTCCTTCTAGCTTTGCTAATAATAATTTTAACTTATTAACATGTATTTAAATTTATTGAAAGTTAACAAAAACTTATAATAAAAAAATCATCACTCTGAGCTCAGTATGAGTTACAAAAGAAAAGAAATTTGAGGTTCCTGATACATCTATGGTCAAAAGATGCACTACAGCATCTTGCTCAGTGAGGGTGAAAGGAGAGAAGTCAATTTGGAGTATTAAACAGAATTTATTTTAATAACACTTCTCAGCCTTATTAAAAAAAGTAATAACATAAACTTAATATATCATAACCATAGGGAATCACACTTCACAAGTTTTACATGAGATGCCATTTTCTAATTAAATCAAATGGGGAAGTATCAAGCAAAGAGCAGCTAAAACTTGCACTTCATTTTGTTTTATGTAGACTCTCTGTTTAACAATAATGCCAGAAAATTCATGAGTCATGATTATGGTTTCCTAAATTTTCCTTTTAAAAATGCCATTTAGACTCACACTCTGTAAGTCAAGTACAGTATCCCTAGGACACCAGTATAAAAGTGTTGCTAACCTATTAATAAAGAAGCAGACATATTTCGAAACCACTTAAATCATCTGCTTTAACACAAACTGCCACATCCTAAGTGGTGGGAACAAAATTTATTTGCAATGTTAAATCTGGCTTCTATTCTGATGCACCGACACTATCATGTAAGCTAAATTCAGCCTCCCTTGCAGGTGATATTACTGTTCAAAGTATATACACGACTCTGGTGCAATCAGTTTGTCAAGTTTCAATTAAAAATAAATGTAGTTAGGAGTCTGACTACTAAATGAACTGATGAGCAAGGTCAATGAAGTGCAAATTAGGCTATCAAGAAAAGACAACATGCAAATGTACAAGAAATTTAAGTGTTTGATTTTGACTCCTTACCATGACTTCAGAGGTAAGATGCATCAGGCTTTCAGCTATTTCCGAGCATCGGGAAGAGTCCATAATGAATTCCCCCCTTGTGTCACCAACTATTAGCTCTGGCCACTGGGGTCCCTCGTTTTTCTTAATTAGAGTAACTTCCAAACTAAAATGCAAATAGAAGGCAAAGAGTAGCACATGAAAACACTGCATCCATTTATCAGTGAGTTAGAAATCTCTAAATGTAGATTTGAGCACTTATCTTCAAACAGAATTAATAATGAAAATCACATAACAGAAACCATTAGCATTCAGATTATAAAATAAACTAACAGAAAATATTCTAAAGAAAAACAGTCCAAGGACATGATTTCTAAAAGCCTAAGCACAAACCTCAGGGCTTGCAATGTAAATGTAGTTTCCCCTGAAGCAGTCTCATTAAAATATTTCAGATATGGCAGGAGATCACTTGCAAAGCAATCTGTTCAAAGACTGACAGAATTTTACTACAGAGGTTCATTTGAAACCCAAGTAGTGAGCACTACCTTTATGTAACACCTAGGACAAAAATATTTGTATTTTATAGACCTCAGAAACACCACAACAGTTAATTATCTATACTGCCAATCTAAAATCATATCTCAGAAGAGCTAAGATTTCTGTAACTGGTAAAAAAACACAACAACAGTGAGAACCCAGTATAACCATAAACTATTAGGAATAACTAACTAACTAAACAGAAAAGAAGACACTTACCCGATGTGGCAATGCAGCAATTGCATTTAAATACTGTGTTAGATCAATACATAGATATAACAATAAAATAGTTTTATTATATTCACCTTTTAGACACACTTACACAGTCTCCAGCAATGAAGACTATTCCTGACCGAAAACCGTCTAATAACTATTCGGCGAATTCTGAATCAGTTTCTGAAGCAATTACACTGGTATTAGAAATAGCAAACTTTGACAAAAGATATTTCAAGCAAGGTTTAGACTTTTAACAGAAAGTTAAAAAGTTGGCACTGCAGTACCAACATTGAGAACCGACTGCAACTTAGTACTTTGAAATATGTAAATACTATTTCTCATTAAAGCAGAAGCCTGAGATTCATGCAATGTCACTCACATGACTGAACAATAAAAATAGTGAGTTACACAGTTATTTCTCAGTATGATACCTAATAACCAAAACCCACAAAGTCATATTTTAATATACATTATTATTATAATCCATATACAAATATTACTCCCTCTTATTCTTCTGGAGAATTACTGTCTTTTACAGTTAACCTTTTGGGCCTGTAAAAAGTCAACCTTATCTCAACACAAAGGACAACCTTTGTTTGCAATAAACAGCTATCAGCTGTTCAGTGGATCAACTGATGGTGTAGATGTTTCTCTTTGAGTTTGTTCTAAGAGCCTCCGTATATCCCTGTGTTAGCCAGACCAGCATGGGTGAGGGAATATGTGGCTCAGCCCAGGCAGAGTATGAAAAGACAAAAGAATCTGGAAGAGAAAAATGAGCTGGAGCTGCCCAGCACTGTGATGGTGAGCATATTATAGAGAGTGATCATGGGAACCACGTTGGTTTGTGACTAAACCGCACGCTGAAATCGCTGTGTTTTTTAAACTGTAACTTACATGTCTATCAACTTTTCAGTATTTATTTTATCCTTCTGCTAAGTTAGCAAACCTGTGTAACAGCAACTGTCTTCAAATATGTAAATTTGATCATGACACTCTACATGCATGGAATATTTAAGAGAACTTGGTCAGAGAGTATTGGGCACTGATACAGCAACACCTAACAGCTGCAGCTCACAGTCTTAAATCATTTGAAGTCAAAAAACCAGCACAAATATCTTCTATACCTATATTTCCAGTATATGTACTTAAAAGGAGTAGCAGAGATAGGCTGTTAAAAAAAGATTCACTTTTCATCCTGTATCCCACTCCCTCAGGCAGTCAAACAGAAACCCACCAGTGCAACAGATGAGAAGCTGTAAAAATTCCAAGGTACTTTTACAGGTAATATGGGCTTAGGGTACAAAGAACATCATTAAACTGTGGATCAGTTAACTGTTTTTCATAATGCACATACTGCATTTCATTCATTCATGCATGAAGGGATTTGGGGTGTAGCATTAAATGAGTCTGTTTCCAGAGCGGCCAAAAGTCAGATACAGTACATCCTTGGAAATCAGTTCCTATCAACAGGAAAACTAAAAAACCTACGATACCTTTTGTTCTCTCTAATTATCCATGTGCAGCTTTCATGGTCCACAGAGGAATAGAGCTTTCCTTCCATCAAGGGAGGCTGGTCTTTCAGTGTAACACGTATGTTATCAGGGGAAAAATGTACTTTAATGTCATCTTTAGTGATGTCTTGAGGCAGGTGAACTGTTATTGTCACATCGTCTTCAGTCTGCTGCCAGTAATAGAGAGGGTCTACAATTGGAAACATGCAGAAAAAACAAACTAGATCACAAGGATTACTGGGTTCCACAGCATGTAATGCTGGCATACATGGAATAGAAGTTCGTGAAAAGAGTGGAAATTTACTCCGAACAATTTCCACAAAATATATTCTGAACATAAAATGGAGAAAAACTTTTTTAGCAGTCAAGTTCATTTATGTCCCTCATTGGGAAAGTAATTTGTCTGTACTCAAATATGCTGATAGTTATACAGTGGGCATTAACTATTACTCTTAAGTTTACTGTAGTATTACAAAATTGGTAACCAAAATGTACTTAAGTACACTGAAACTTTAATGATTAATAATTTGGTTGAAGAGACATCGGGTACAGTGGTACTGACAAGCTATTGCATGCTCAGAAGATTCAGAGCCATTCATGCCATTTAGAGATCTGAACATTTTTTTAAATGTATTTTTCCAGAAGCCACTCTGACTATTCAACAGAAATTATTTTAGAAGACCAAGCAGTTTTAATCTGCCTTGGCTAATGGAGATGATCTAAAACTGCCTGCCCAGAGGTACCGATTGACTTTTGCTCCTGGCTCTAGAATCTGTCTGATGTTTATCTTGATTATTACACTGCTAGAAGAAGTGCCCTTTAAGAGAAATGTTTATACAAAAGGAAAGCTATGACAGCATGACTGAGTAGTGCACAGCTGGTCACAGAAAATACAAATATGGATGATACATTTTCTAAAGAGCAATCTTGAATAAGTTACCTTTCTATTTTGAGGGGAAAGTAAAGTATGGGCTGCCTTTGGAAGCTCTCAAGTTGTCAGAACACAACACAAGATTTCATTGACCTAAGGCTCATTCCAGCAACTGTGACACTGGAAGGACTCTTGCACTGCTGCCCATTGCCACAAATTTCCTGTTTGCAAAGGATCAGTCACAGGTGCTACAACTATACTTCCCAGAAACTATTAGTATCTGAGACATGACAGCCTTCAAACTTCTAAACACTGACACAGATTGTATCTGACATTAAGTCTATTTTGCCTGCAACGTTATATAAACATGCAACTAAAATCAGTGCCTACATTAAGTTTAGCAAAAGACAAATTCTCTCTTAAGGAGGTATTAGATTTCCCTCTCAACTAGGAGTTCAGGTTTCAGTACCTTCTTTACCATTAGACTTTTGTGTCACCAGAAGTTTTCTAAAAGTATTGCTGCAAACAGTATTTCACACATTACAGATTTCTGGGCAACACTGTACGTGCACAAACATGCATGAAATTATCTGTTAAGAGCCAGAGAGTGCTCTTTACTGTGTTTTCTTTTAATCACACCTAGCCACAACTGAAGCTCCTAAAATCCTTCAAGCACTGAACTATCTAATTCAGGTGACAACTGCATAGCATATTATGCTCAGTGCACTGAAGAACTGATTTCTCTCAAGATTTATATGTATGGACTATTCTTAATACAATGACATGTACAAGGTCAGTTATCACTACGTGCACATTCCAGAAATCTGATCTTTCTTCATTGTTTTCCAAATAGATTCTCATACCATTGACAAAGATTGTGCTAGTATCATTCAGGTAGGATTTGTTCATTAACCAATGCCTCATATTCAGATGCAAAAATCAAATCTAAAATAATACAACATAACTATATACATATATATTACAGGGCTCACTGAAACTTAAGAATAAACAACTCTATTAACAGGTTTCTGCATGCTTAGTTTTGTTTTGATTGTGAAGAAAATGAGGATGGATGCCTTTTGTTGAAGTTATTATTTTTTCTGAACTGCTTTCCCACTGGAGAAAAGATAATATTTTACAGGATTCTTATTCTTTCAAAAGAAAAAGTTTTATTTAAATTATTTTTTAAATTTTAGAAAGAGTAAATTACATATGAAAAGCTTTCTGATTAACAACAGTTTGGGGGGGTTCAGTGCTCCTCACCCATCTAGGAAGGACTCTGGCACTGTGTAATTTGAGTATTTCAGCCAGATGCCTAAATTTAGGTGTCAGCAATCCAACTAGTAACAAATGCTTCATATAATTCTGTTTGCAAAACATCCTTTTCCCTAAGACAAAAAAATTCTTCAAGTGTCTCCTACCCAAAAATCACCTCATATAGGTTTATGCACAATAAAACTTCTCACAGTAAAAGCAAATTAAAAAAAAAGCCAATCTGTGCAGAAGACAGATAGCAAAACAAACATTTATTGCTAGAGTCTCCAAACAAATACTAAACTGACAAGATATTTTCTAAGCCAAAGAAGAGAGCAGCCTATCACAACCTGCCAGGTAAGTCTTACCTTTCTTTTCATTCGATACTTCTGCATCATCATTTTCTTCTAATTTTTCGCCTTCATTTTGCATAAATTTGAATGGTTTGTGGGAAACAATCATGAGACCATCTCCACTTGGCTCTATTGCTGCATAATGGGGGACTGACTTTCCTTGTAAAACTCTCCTTTTAATGATTTCATACCTTTGATTACCTGTAAGATAAAATAAAAAAACCTAGTAATGTTATTTTCTTTGCTAAGCAAGAAGTGGAATGAAGATTAGTATAATGTAATTCTGGTACTTAATGGTGTTAATTAAAGCCCAACTCTTTCTTAAAGGTTTTGGTTGGGGGGGAAGGAGGGCAGCATTAATCAAAGAGATTCAACCATTTTAGTAAGAGACAGAGTAAGATATCTATATAATCAGAAGACTCCAAGCAACAGGGTAATATAATTTTCAACATTAACAAATTACTTTGGCTTAGATGCATGATCAAAAAGAGCATGTCCCTTGCAGTAGGAAGTTAGCCACTCAGTGAAGTTTAACGAGGGCAAGTGCTGGATTCTGCACGTGGCATGGGGTAACCCTGGCTGTATGTACAGACTGGGGAATGAGATGCTGGAAAGTAGTGCCATGGAAAGGGACTGAGGGGTCCTTGTTGATGGCAAGTTGAGTATGAGTCAACAATGTGCCCTGGCAGCCAGGAGGGCCAACCAACAGTGTTCTGGGGTGCATCAGGCAAGGCATTACCAGCCGGTCAGCGGAGGTGATTGTGCCTCTCTACTCTGTGCTGGTCCAGCCTTACCTTGAATATTGTGTGCAGTTTTGGGCACTACAATATAAGACAAATATTAAGTTATTGGAGAGTGTCCAAAGGAGGGCAACAACAACAGTGAAGGACCTTGAGGGGAAGCCATATGAGGAATGGCTGAGGTCACTAGGTCTCCTCTGCCTGGAGGAGACTGAGGGGAAACCTCATCACTGTATACAACTTCCTCACAAAAGGAAGTGGAGGGGCAGGCACTGATCTCTTCTCTCTGGCAACCAGTGACAGGACCTGAGGGAATGGTCTGAAGTTACATCAAGGGAGGTTTAGGCTGGATATTTAAAAATGGTTCTTCTACCAGAGGGTGGTGAGGCACCGGAACAGGCTCCTCAGGGAAGTGGTCACAGCACCAAGACTGAGAGAGTTCAAACAGCATTAGGACAATGCTCTCAGGCACATGGTGTGATTATCAGCGATGTCTTGTGCAGGGCCAGGAGTTGGACTAGATGATCCTCAAGGGTCCCTTTCAACTGATTATTCTGTGACTCCGTGAATAAGCTGTATTTTAAGTGACTGAATATAACTGCCCACTGAAACATATCAAATTTTTTGCATGTCTTTCCCACAGTATTTTCTCACTTGTTAAAAGGTATTACAACCTCAACTTGCCCTTGTCTGACAAAGCCTTTTTGAGAATATTTTTAATCAATCATTGATACTTCAGAATTTTTTAATGACGTCTTCATGATCTTTTGAGTAAGTTTATACTAAAGGATTTTTCCTGTAGAGAAGGTCAGAAGAAAGCTAAAAAGGTAATATTTTCTAAGGCTCATAAGGCATCATGGTGGTTTTTAATTTCAAGCTTTTACAGCAAGGATTCCTAAAACTTTGGTTAACTAAAGAAAACAACAAAATTTGAAAGGATACACCTTTGTTACAGTCCTCTGAAGTACCACACAAGATGTGAACAGACCTAACCACTGCCTCCAGACTGCTGCATTTTCATGCTTCCATTTTTTTGTTCTTTGGTAATACAATACTGATGGGTATGATCACTTTGTCTAACCAACCAGACATGGCAGAGACTCCCATAGTTGTTGGTGTCAAGAGAAATAACTGTTTTAAGGCTTTGCTTTGATGAAGCATGGATTTTGGTAAATTAAGAAATGGCTTGTTGATTAACGACTTACTTTTACTACAGTCTGATTTGATAAACTGCACCCACAGGCAGAGTTTCAAGAGAAGTTAAGCATGGCAATTGACTCCTGATGAAAAAGGATGTAAAGCACTCTAATTTCTCAAAACAGCCTTTATCTTTGAGACTGGTTCATACATCAATCTGATTTGCAAGATGTTTATTTAAATGAAATCAAAACTTATTCTCTCTTCACAATTAAAGTTTGCTTTGAATCTTGTTATTTACATCTCTAACTGACTGTAAGTTTTTCTTCTAAGTTATAACCAGGAATGTTCAGAGGTTTCTTTCGCTTGTTGAGCTGACCACAACAGCATAAGCCAATCTCATGTGGCTTTCCGGATCTCTTAGAAATATTTCCATCATCCAATGTTTTAACAGCAGACAACATAATGGTCAAAGGGCTGGAAGGAATGTATCCTATGAAGAGAATGTGACGATTTGGGGCTTGACTAGTTTGGAGAAAATGAGTCTGAGGGGCCTCCACATTGCTCTCTATGGCCTTCCTGAGAAGGTGAAGTAGAGAGGGAGATGCTGAACTCTTCTTCCTGGTATCCAGGGACAGGATGTCTGGGAATGGTTCAAAGCTGCACCAGATGAGGTCAAACTGAACATTAGGAAGCATTTCTTTCCTGAGAGGGTGGTCAAACACTGCAACAGGCTTCCTGGAGAGGTGGTTGATGCCCCAACCTAGTCAGTGTTTAAGAGGCATATGGGCAATGCCCTTAATAATACACTTTAACTTTTGGTCAACCCTGAATTGGTCAGGCAGTTGGACTATGACACTGCAGGTCACTTCCAATTGAAATAATTTATTCTGTTCAGTTCTATCCTATCCAGACTATGCATGTAGGAGATTGAGGAACATTTGGCTAGTAACATCAGAGTTTGCAATCAACTGCTTTAGTAGTTAAAGATTTTGTTTCTGTCAGCATCAAAACTATACTTATTGGAAGATAATGAGTGAGAGCATATCACAATCTTCTCAAGAAGGTAGATTAATTTAACCCACACATCTTAAAATCAAACAGGGAAGCACAGGGCCTTGTATCCCTTATGTAAATCATGATATTTAGTGTAAGTATATATATGGTCATATTGAACACATAAAGTAGTATTTCCTAAACTTTATTAGGATAATATATTAAATAGGAAGTATTAATACACTAACAATGTGGTTTTGATATGTTGGTCTAAAATTAATGCAATAATTTCGTACGCTTATTGTAGGAAAACCTAGAATATGCAGTTTTTACTTTTTATGCTACAGGTCTTATATTTATCTCATACTAATTCTAATCTCACTGCATCATTAAATGGAAGCTAAAGAAACAACAACAATCCCCCCCATAACCAAAGACCTGTATCCAGTTGTACAACATTTTGCAAAGTACAACAAACACTGGTTAGAAATAGTTCTGTGTAACCCTGATTTCACAAGATCAAGCTAAACAGAAAGTGCATTTCATAACATCTAAATAAAGTTCTATTTTGTTTTCTTAATTATCTATACCACACATGTATAAAACCTTACTTCTTCCTGTTTTCCAAATGTCTGTCAGAATTTAGGTCTACAACCAATAACCTGACCTCAAAATTTAGGAAAAAATTACCTATCTAAAATCTAAGCTGAAGTTTTGGGCAAAGGAAGTATGAGAACCTGTGGAAAAGCATCTTCTAAGACAAAGAATAAAAGCATGACTTAATTTTTTTAAACTTTACTCACCAATAATATAAATGTAAACCACTTACCTTCTTTGCTTATCTCTGCAATTGTAACCCACTCCAGGGTAATATGAAATCCACTTCCTTTTGTGTCCAATTCATCTTTTTCTACCCTAAGCAGCAACACAGCTACTGAATGTGTATCAGATTTAACGAATGAAACACTGTGTGCTATAATAAATGGACTTCCTAGCTCTTCATTAAACACAATCTAGAAGACAAAAAAGTAGTAACAAGTTAAGACAGTTAAACCTGGAAGCCTTGCTCTTTCTCAGAAAGCAGTGTAGGGCGTCAGTGAATGTCAAACCAGCAACAGTTTTGCTTCCCACAAACCTCTCTGCCAACATGAATCCATCAATGTCATACACTTGTGGTTCCTCCTTCCATGGCTATGAAACTACTGTTGTGAAATGCTTTTAATTATTATTGTTTCTATTACACAATCATTATAAGGACCCATTAAACAAAGCACAAAGATCCCCAAACCCATCTGCATTATGGATGTTTACTACTACAACAAGTAGAGGTACAACAACTAATGAGCTCAACAGGATCCATAAACACTGCATATCAGCTGGGGAAAGTCTCAGGATGAAAATGGAGGCATTTCCCCAAGGCTGTCACTACTTCTCTAGACATGCCAACATTCTGAAAATCTTTGTAGAACTTGGCATGTGCAAACATGAAGATGAAAAGGTCCAGAACATCACTGCCAGTGTTTGCTTAACATAAGGGGAGGGGGAGGTGCCTTTATTTAGTTACTATCTTTGCAAAGAAATGCCATTTTCCTTCTCTACGAAGTACTGTGAAGGTAAGAAACAAAAAGCTATAATGAAATGAAGGAGTATAATATCATGTTTAAAAGAAGGTAAGGTTAGAAGGTTTTGAATTTTTATTTATGTATATGGATTGGAAAATCCATCCAATATTTGAATGCGACTAAGTAAGCAGAATACGTAAATATTCCTGTTATACTGAAAGGCTAATAAACACCACTGTGAACATGAAATTTCATTAATTAGGAAATCAAAATTATTTCATGAATTCCATACATAAGGACTCCATGTCTTCTAGCACAAGACATTCAGCATTTGATACCTATAGGTGGAAGTTTTAATTCTAGAAATTATGTATTTCAGCTTTTCTCAAAAAAGTACTCATTTGGCAAAAAGCCCAAGAAGATAAAAACAAAATGAATCCAAACAGCAGCGAAAAAAAGAAACATTATTTTCTAGAAAATTAACACCTGAAAATGAAAGAACAAATAAACAAATAAATTACGATTAATTCAAGCTGCAGTGGTTAAATGAATATAGGCTCAATTCAGCTGTTGTTATTGAAACCTGATCAGGTTTGAGGATTTATGGGGTTGGGATATTAACATGACTGTAAACCAACGTGTCCTCTACATACTCAAGAAGTCAATTTAAATGGTGACATCTTCAACATAGAAATCTCATGGTTTTGTTACACTGACAACTAACTCCAATGTAACTTATTTATGTATTCTCACACAGAACAGAATAAAAATGAGCTGGTATTAAGTAAAAAGAATCCTAAGAACATGACGATCAATTTCCTTTACTGAATTCTCAAGAAATGTAGTGAAAGGAGCTAACCCATCATGCTGAAATCTTCCACTTCAGTATATATGCCTAAGTTTCTGCCAGTACTAAAACATCCTTGATTTCTTAGGAAGCTGCCCTCTAAAATAAAGAAAATAGACACAAAATCTGAGTGCTTTACACCAGATTTGTCTTTCACAAACAAACAGTAACTAACTACAGAACATAACTACAGGGATGTGGTGGCTGCCCCAGCCCTGGTGGTGTTCAAGACCAGGTTGGATGAGTCCTTGTGCAACCTGATCTAGTGAGGAGGTGTCCCTGCCCAGGGCAGGGAGGGTTGGGACTAGATGATCTGTAAGGTCCATTCCAGCCCTTAAATTCTACGATTCTATGATTATGAAACTCACTGCAGCTCAGGCAGAAATGAACTTAATTATATTTGTTGTGTCTAAGCAGGATAACAAACACCATTATTGGTGTATACAAAAAATGCTCCTTATCAAGACTCCCTTAAAAGGATTAATTATGTAAAGAACTTAATGATGAAAAACATCAACACATACTTCAGTTATGACCAATAGTTTTAAGTAAAAATTTTAAGCTCCACTAATTTCCCAGAGCTAAGTGCACAGTATGAAGAATTTCCCTTCCAGAGAGATGGAAATAATGCTGCTTACATTATACCTGCTCTGCAGGTAACCCTCAGGGTTACTTATCAAAGCTTTAAGCAGCACTTTTGTTGAAGTTTTATTCTAGTCTCTGTGGTTGTGTTTTTAGAGTGGGGCAAATTAATTGGTATTTCAAGTACAATTACATCTGCAGAGAAAAACACACCCAGACCAGAAATCTCCTGATGAAAGCAGCCTTTAGCTTGGCTGATAATAATTTCAGATTTAAATATA